CTAAATTACAAAATATTTTAGAAGTCCCTTTTGACAGGTAAGTCTAATATGGTCAAGACCATTTTATCATGTTCATGTTACAGTCCTCAGGCTAATGTGCTCTTAGACAATGTGGCACCTTCCTACCAGGCAGTTAACACAGAAACCACAAGAAAAGGCAAAGTTTGAGCTTTAGTCAGATTAGTCCTCAGAATATCTGAGCCATAAGAAATCTGTGTTCTGCTTTTTGAGACACCACAGCATGGCTTGAGCACAGAAGCACTATGAAAAAACCTCTCTGCCTAGGGGAATAAAGCTTGGAAAATATATATTAGGACTGGAGGTGGGGAATCTTTTCAGATTATTTGGTTTAATTAGGAAAACAATTTTTACAAGTATCACTCCAACCAGAAACCGATTTACAGCAAAGTGAAATTACCAGGTATCTCCACACACCACCCTTACTCAATGGGATGAACACATCCAACTATGCCCAGTCACAGTGCTCTAATTCATCAACATTTATTCTTTAAAAAAAATCTAGGCAGATTCCCACAAACACAGCAGGAACAACTTAATTACAGCTCAAGATACTACTCCAAGAAGATTTTTACCAAGCATTAAAAAGCTGACATAATTCCAAGTGTCTGTTCCCAGCCACATATCCAAGTTCCTGCTATGGTTAGATCTCAGCTACCCCACCCTAGGGCATCACCAAAAGAAAACATTTTACTTCAGCCCAGATAGATGTCCCCATAAACTTTATTCTCTCAATAACTTTCATTCTAAAAGGTTTAGAATTTCTTTAATAACTCCTACATTATTAACAGCAGCTCTATTGGCACCCCTCAAGTTAAACAAGTCATCCTTAAATGCAGTGTTCCAACAATAGCTTTAGGTGTTCCAGCCTACATTTGAGAAGCAGAACTCTGAAACACGAAGAACTCTGCCAATGCTGGAAGCCCTGGAATGTGATAACAGAGACAGCAACTGGATTACAACAATGAACAATGACTGTGCACATTATACCATGCACACTGCAATGAATTGCTAGTTATTTAATGCTAATAGCACTGTACTGCAGCTATCAAAGAAATAATTCAGCAGTCTGCCTGTGCTTGAAGATCTACAGTGAGCTAAGCAGTATGAGCCATGTGCATTATGTTGTTCCTCAACACATTTATCCAAGCAGTGCTGATCTTGTACACTCCAACTGCATCACAGGCTGAGGTGCTCCAGCAGAAGCTAAAGGAGCAGAGAACTGATGGCCCAAATTATTCTGTACAACATAGTACAGTGATGTCAGCATTTCTGCAGGAAGAATTTCACTTGTCAAAAAAAGAATGAAATCAAGAATTGCAGGATCACTAGACCTCTCAGTGAAGCAGGATATCCCACATGAGAACATGCTCTGGAGATGGCTGAGGATACCACATTTAAGGATCTGCTACCCTGATAACTGACAACAGGAGACAAGGGCCAACACTTTGTAGTGAGGTTTGTCAAGAGGTCACACAGAGTATCAGCATCATTATGTAAGTACAATTCATTTTTATAACAGAACCAACTGCCAATAAGACAGGGGTAACACACATCAGGTAATCTCAAAAGCTGCACAGGAATCCTCACTAGGAAATACAGCATGATGTATAAGGTATCCAAGCTCTAACTCTCAGTCTCAAACCTGGAACACTACCAGACTGAGAAGTTTTGTTTCAAAAATCACCATTTGTGCATATTTGCCAAAGCAGAAGCAAACAACAAATAACATATTGCCCAATGCCTCATTTACTGCAGTACAGTAACGTTTTCCTCACGGAACCTGCAACAAGTACCACTGGGAAAGCAAAAGACCCAAAACCTCGAAGCAGTATCACATTTAGGTTTTTAGGATGTAAAATTCTGTAATGCATTCACAGCTGCTAGATTACGCATATTGCCTAAGTCATCACTGATTTTGAATGAATTTGGTTTTAAAAAACCTTTTCTCACTGTGTCATAATGATAGCATATTGACAGCATCATTTTGACATTCCTTTGCTTTTTAGGACGTGTTTTTACTGTCTATACTCATCATCTGTTTATTTTTGGCTTCATTTTTCTAAATACTGGAGCTGCCCTATCAGTTTCACAGGCTTATAAATGTTATACATCAAAAATTAGTTTCACTTATTAAGGCAGGAAACGGCTTTAAGAACTCTGGGATCTGTGCCTCAAAGCAAAAGCTTTATCAGCAGGTTCCAGTCACTGCTTCTTGCAAAAGAAAATGGTGCCGATTAAACCCCCAAACACCTGATTTCAAAAGGAACACCTACCCACTGAACAGTCTGCACACGGCTGCCAGGGGGGCTGCACCCCAAACAGCACACAGCTGCTTCTCACACAGCCCCTGTCCCCAGCCCCGGAACACTGCCCCAGAAAAATGAAAACTACCCAGAAAGAGATGGAGGGGAGATAAAAGAACAATAATTTCATCCAAGCATTGCTCCAGACTTCAGAAGTGGTGCCCTTCAACACAGCCATAGTGCACGCCCGGCTCGCTCACAGTGCTGTGCTGCATTTGGAAGTCAGAGGGACACAAAGAGCCCACACTTTAAAAATTAACTCACTTCTCAGAAGCATTATGTAAAAAGAGTTTCAAAAGGGACATTTCCTTAAACTGCCAGGAGAAGGAAGGCAGCGAGTGAATCAACTCTGCACAACATGAAAGCAACATTAACTGTACTTGTACACAAAGCAAGGAGTGTTGAATCAACCTCTTGCATAAGCAAATCCTTCTCTATAGCTCTTCACTGAATCAGTCACTCTTAGAACAATTTCCTTAGGAAAAAAGGCATTTTAAAAGATCCATTTAAAAAAATACAGCTTCTGAAAATCACAAAGGAAAATGAACCTTGCAGTGAATAATGGAACACATCCTTACAACAGCAGAGAACCCCAGTGAATTCACATGGAATCTGCCTCTACAGGACTCCTCATGAGAGATCAAGCCAGTCATTTGAGTTTTCCTTCTTTCAACACACTATTTATTCAGATAAACCCACTTAACCAAAACCAAGTCAAGGCTGTGAATACTAATAATGTTTCAAGCATTTTGTTTTCAGAATTACAACATGCTAATATTTGAAAGTCAACAATTTGGAGCTAATGTTCCACAAATAATAATACATTGCTGCAGCACCTGGGATGTGCTAGACGTTGTATAATCCCATGGCTACCAAAATCAGATAACAGTTTATCATAAATATTACAAAACCTTAAAACTTCTTACATTAATTTGTTTTTATAGTCAAACAATTTGCACTAGAACCTCAGTATGTTTTATTGATTATGATACTCTAACCACTTTAGAGCAGATGGGATAACGACATTTGTGAAGGAGAACGGCAAGTGTTTTTCATGTTGCACACATGAAAGGTAATGTCACAGCCAGAAGCTGGTCAGACCTGAAGGGAACATCAGGACACGTTCCTATCACTGTCAATAGCTGTAATCTTTGCAGATTGAAGTCCTGTGATCACGGGTGACAAGGCAGATAAGAGTCTAGTCATTAGAAACTGCCCTGAGTGACTAACTGGAGGAGTTCAATGACTGTGTAAGAACACTCCCTGAGGAACAGTTAGTTTTACCTAACCTTACAGAACTTAAACAACTTTATTTCTATTTCAAAAGCCATCTCTTTTTAAAGCCACCACAACACTGTAATACATCGCAACAAACAGATTTAAATCTGCAGTTTTACATTAAAGCTTACTTTAAACCCCCCAGTATTTAAGAAACATTTACAATATCTGAGTGACTACTCATTAAAATTTGTCTTTTCAATACCTTTAAATTTTGAAAGCATATACAGTGGACAGAAAACTCTCACTACCTGTGTGAAGATGGAAGAAGATGCAAAATGCAGGAATGAAAGCAAAAATTACATAATTATTTTAAATATAAATCTAGAATCTCTAAATTATACAAACCAGATTATTTAGCTTTTTCCTGAACTGGCTTCAAAGCTATTCCAGCCATATTTTTATCCTGGTTTTCTTCCTCTGCATTTTCTCCCCCGTGCACAACTAGCAGTGGGCAAAACAGACCCCGTGGATTTAAATTACATATTTACAGATACATTACATATACAGCTGCTACCACCTACCTTATGTGCACCTATTTAAGTACTTCTGACATGAAATGATCAGAGCTACCTGATAGAATCCTCACCAGTTTAAGTATTTCCTGAGCACTACACACAGATTTAACAGGGTCCAATTTTTATAGCAAAGAGCAGCACAGCTCTTCATGAAATTTCTCACATGCACCAACAGACAAGACAACATCTTGAAAAAACTTGTGTTTTTCTCACCTGGATTTGTTTTTAGATATGCATTTACACACTAAAAAGTTATGACAAGGAGAAAAAAAAAAATCCAAAACAATTCTAAGGCTACAGCAATGTATCTGACAACCACCTACTCCCATTCTTCTCCTGAATTCTTCTAGCCATCAACTCCTGAAAGCATGAACACACAGGAAGAAAGAGTCTTGGAACACAAGTTGGGGTATGTATGTCCTTATTTGGACACATCTCACTCTAAGCTTGGTAAATCTCTACCTGTCTTCAGCCTTCCCAAGCTGATTGAGGTGGTAATGTCAAATAAAATACGAGGCCCAGGGAACTGGGAGGAATGGAACATCCTACTCCTGTTCTCTTGGCTTGCAACACGCAGAGAGATCAGAACCTCCCTGTGGATGACTAGTTACCAACCCCTGTGAACCGAGGAGTCAGCAGCAAGGCTTTGAAGCAAAGTTACTTGGCACTGTTTGTGGCTGAATTTTCAAGTCTTAAACACAGCTCCAGCTGTCCAAGCCTTACTAGGTCAGCAGCAAAGTCCTTCAGTCACTGCCAGGACCCTGCTCAAGGAACAGGAAAGATGGAGCAAACAATCAACCCTGTTTTAGCCAGGACACTTCTTGTACAGACGCACCAGAACTCAACATCCCCTCGGAGTGTTTGTGAACAGCCCACTCACCTCACGCATGGCCAGCCTGTCACTCAGCTCCTCAGCCTTGGCAATGTCACCTTCAGCCACACACCTCTCTATGCTCAGTTCAAGGCCAGACTAGGAAAAAGAAAAAAAATCTTTAAGACAACAAGAACACATTTAAACAGAGCACCTCCTTTCTAAAAGTATTTCTTTCATAAGATTCTTCAGGACACTGCACAAACCTGCACTTTCTATGTGACACAGACCACTCTGTCTATGGACTGTCATGGACAGTGTAATTAAGAATTCCCTGAAAGGCTGCCCGAGCACAAATCATTGCATTAGTTCCACCTTATGTGCAGGATAATACTATAGGTTAAAAAAATTACACGGACTAGTTTATGCCTGTCACAATGAAATTTCATCTGAAGATCTGTCTTATCTCTTCCATCCCCGGAGCCTTCTAAACAAAATGTGAAATATATGTGTCAGGTAACATGAAGAATGGCAATTACCACTGTATCGTTACAGTTCCAAGATCTTATCTCTCTCCAAAAACCGAGTTCTGGCACGATGCCACTCCCTGTACTAATAAATTAAAAATTCTAGCAGCCCTTCGGAAAACAGTGAAAAAGCTTCAGAATTTAAAGGTTATTTTCTTATTTTCAGAGGTTATGATCAATGTAACATAACTCGTTCAACAGCAATATTTTACAAATAACACCACCATAAAAAGTAAATATTTCCTGGAAATTATAGTTGGAAACTTCTGATGGAATACAGAAGGGTAACATAACAGAGGGCACTGACTTCAGAATTTCACAGAAAAACTTACTCTCATAACAAAAGACAATTTACAGCCTCATGGGTTTTAAATATTAGTGATGCTAAAGAAAACACATTTGACAGTTTCATAACAAACTCTTTTCTAAGAGACAAAACCAAAAAAGCTAACAGAATTCTGGAAAAACAGGGATGTGCAAACTCTGCACTTGAATTATGTCAGGTGGTAGCTGAACATAAAAAAGGCACAATTGGAAATTGCAGTGATAGCCAGTTCTGTGAGATGTGTTTTCTGAAAATAATGAGACACACTTTCCACTAAAGTCCCTGAACTTCTGTGGAAACCACCTGCATTTTAACACTTTGGGCCTCATTCCAGATCTCTCCTGACCGGTTTAACGACAACCAAACAGCCACCAAAATTAAGAAGCGAACAACATCTCATGACTTTCATGCAGAAACCTACTGCAGGCAAATGGAAAAACCAAAATGTATCCTAAAGGTGGCTAAATGAACATTTGATGTCATAGCACTTACAGGAACACTACAGAACAAACAGTGCTACCAGGAACTCACCATGCACAAAGTTTCTTAATTGTCCATTATGTGCACCAGTTAGTTCAAACATGACTAGTTACACAGTATTTATGAGCAGAAAGTGTTAGAATCCCATCAAAAATGCATGATAGGTTTGCCCCTTTAATTCCTATAGCCACTGGTGTCAACTGAAGGATTTCTGTGACACATTTTAAAGTTAAAACACGACTAAACAGAAGAAAATAAAAAGTCAAACACCACATATGAAGCATTCTGAGAAAACATAACCAGACAGGAACCAAGCCTGGATGCTGTCTCAACAGCAAGCACAGCAACCATTCAAAACATTTATTTATTAATAATGTACACAAATCTGCCCTTCCTGAGAGTGACTTCATCATTTACTCTCAAATAAGCCTCAGTTTTATTCCCATCTCAGTAATGTCAACTTCTTTTACTGCCAAGTATAAGCTGACACTGCCTTTGTATCAACATTCACCTTTTGTGGGGCCCTGCTATGCACAGGTGATTCGAATCTATCATTGATTCCAAAGTACTGTGTAAGTTCTTTCCATTTCTCTTCATTTTCCAACTGTTGGCTACTAAAAATAAACAAACAAGACATCAGTGTAACCAGTCCCCTTTCCACAACTTGTAATATTCTGTGCTAAATAGGATTCAATGCTAAAATAAACTCTCCCACTTGGCAGGCATGCTCTCTTCACCCATTCAGTTCTTAATTCAAGTGAGATTAATTATTCCTCCCCCTCTGTAAGTATAATTCCAGAATGCTGAAAGCAAGCTGATAGAATCATAGAATCATTCAGGCTGAAAAAGACCTTTAAGATCATCAAATCCAACTGTAAATGTAACACAGAAGGAAATACAATACAAGAAGGAAGAAAGAAGAGAATGAGCAGGCTGAACAGAAGGTTGCATGCAGTTACTTGCAAAACACTATCAGGAATAACATTAAGTCTATTTTAAGTCAGATTGAATAATAAATTAGTGTTGATTTTTAAAATCAAGCAGTAAGTCCTTTAAGCAATCACTGGTACAAACTCAGCCTGCCCAAGAGAGACACTGAACAAATTCAGCAGATATTTAACATGGTGTTCAAAATCAGGCTTTGGTCATGCCTGCCATCAAGCTTCTTTTTACAAGTTTTGCCTGATACTAAAAATGGACCTCAGGAAATCACATTGACCTGGTTACAGTCACATTGACCTGGTTACAATCACATTGACCTGGTTACAGTCACATTGACCTGGTTACAATCACATTGACCTGGTTACAATCACATTGACCTGGTTACAATCAATCACATTGACCTGGTTATACCTCTTAGTCACCTCATCGGCCTTCGTCTGTTTTGCTGAGGGGAAAAAAGAAAAGAGAGATGCAGCATTACACAGCAATACCCCACAGCACCCAGGGAAGTCCCAGAGCTCTAATTGGCCACATTTCCTTTGAAGGGCTGCCACACTGGGATTTTTACCCAATGATTCAAACCACTCAGCTAAACTGAGTTAAACTCCTACAGTATCTGCGAAGAAGTTGTAACTACAACACACCAAAGTATGATTTATAAAATTACTGAGATACACTTAACCATTATAGATCAATATTAACTGAGAAAGTTCTACCTTCTTTTAAAGAAGAGGACAAATATATTACTTGCATTTTGAAGTTGCGATTTGCAACCTTCACCTGCAAGTGTTGTACACAACTGGAAAAATACAACCCTACATAACAGACAGAATACATCTACTCAGGCATTCAGTTCTTCATTAAAAAGAAAAAAAAAAAAGCGCCAAACAAAACCAACTCCCCACCCCAAACCCAGCATGTGCTGATAACAATTCAATTTTGAGAAAGCAAATTCCATAATTACAAAAAACACCTTTTCGGTGGCGCTTTCTCTTTCGGCATCTGTTTTCCTGCTGTGCTTCCATTTTCATTTCACGGTGCTTCTTCTGAAGCTCCACAAATTTCTGCAAGATTAAGAAAAAGCAAATCAGTATTTTTAATTTCCCCCCCCCCCATTTTTAAGAAACTACATACTGTGCTGAGAAATGCTGTCACAGTATCTTATTATCCACAGTACCTGATGTTAACTACTATACTCAGATTTATAAATCAAGAACATCCAACTCTAATGGTGTTAAAACAGAATTGGTTCTAATCCTTCACCACCTCTCCCTGACTTTCTGCCCTCCCAGCATCCCAGGACTACTCAAAACTGACAATTTTCTCATGGAATGTGCTGCAGAATACATTTCTGCTGCTGCCTAGTTATAACAACTCCTTGTGCCACCACCAAACTACCCAGTCACTTCCTACCTAAATCCCTGTTCTCCCTGCTTGAAACAACCTCAGGTATATCCTTCAATCATGTTACATTTCATTGCAGCTGAAAAATAACATTGAGTTATTTTGATCTAAAAATCAGCCATCTGACTTTGAGCCTGTTGCCCTGCTGGTTTGGAGACCTGCAGAGACACGCACGTTCCAGATGTGTACAGAGACTCCAGGAGGGCACGTCTGACACTCGCTTTCCTCATCTGCCAGCGGCGCCACAACAGGTTCGCTGCTGGCACTGCTGCCCTGCCCACTCCTGTCCAAGAGTTCAGACAGCTGAGCTCCCTCAGTGTCCTCCGGTGCCCCTTTCTTCCAAGAGGAGGCAGGTGAATCGTCTGCACCATCAGAACTCGAATCGACATCACTTTCGTTCACTCCTGGGGGTAGCAGCCCGCTCCACATCCTCCAGGTTCAGCAAGAGCAAACCACGTCCAGGCACTGCAGACTCGCCAGGTCACCCATCCCGAGGGGAAAAACACCTGCAGGGGAGAGAACAGACACACCAAACACGCCATCGGAAACACTTCAGCTTCTCACAGGCAACTATCGGTACGCGCCTTAGACAAGCACATTGTAAAGCTTCTGCTACTTACTGTTTGGAGAGGAGCAGACGATTTGAGCGCACAGGTTGACGCTTTGGTTCATTCCGCCCCCCGCCTTCCCGTTCTTTAAAGTTATGCCCCTTCGCATTTGTTTACGGCTGCTTTCGGTTTAGGGGCAGCAAACGCCTCCCGTGCCTCCATCGGAGCAGCTTCCAGGGGAGCACAAGCCCTGCCCTGGGCGGCACGGCAGAGCCGGCACGGCACAGCCCGCCCGGGGCACCCGCTCCGGGGGAAAAGCGGCTGCACCGCAGGGCGGGGAACGGCAAACGGCACTCCCCCAGCCCCCCCAGGCCGGGCGGCGCTGCCAACAGCCCGCAGGGTCCCGCAAAGAGCCCGCAGAGCTCCTCCGCTGTCCCGGCCCCGGCCCCGCCCGGCCCTGTTTACCTGGCCGCCATCTTGGCACCGCCGGAACACCCCGCCCGCCCATTGGGCAGTGCCGTCCAGCCAATCAGCGGCCCCGCCGGTCTCCATGGCAACGCGGCGGGGCGGCCCCCGGGAGGTGTGGCCGTGGGAGGGGGGGCGGGTCCTGGGAATGGGGGCGTGTCCTGGGAATGGGGGCGTGTCCTGGGAATGGGGGCGTGTCCTGGGAATGGGGCGTGCCCTGGGAAAGGGTGGGATGTGCCCTGGGAAGGGGTGGGTTGTTCTTTGGGAAGATGTGGGATGTTCTTTGGGAAGGGGTGGGGTGTTCTTTGGGAAGGTGTGGGGTGTTCCCTGGGAAGGTGTGGGCTGTTCCCTGGGAAGGTGTGGGGTGTTCCCTGGGAAGGTGTGGGGTGTTCCCTGTGAGGGGAACAGATTCCCACAGGCTTCCGGAAGAGTTCCCGAAGGGGCAGCTGGCCCAACAAGTGCCACTGAGGTTGTTGTCAGAATCACAGAACCAGTGAGGCTGGACGAGACCTCTGAGGCCATCGAGTCCAGCCTGTGGCCGAACACCACCACGTCACCCAGCCCATGGCATTGATGCCACGTCCAGGCTTCCCTTGAGTACCTCCAGGGACGGTGACTCCACCACCTCCCTGGACAGCCCATTCCAATGTCTAATCACCCTTTTTGTGGAGAAATTCCCCCTCATGTCCAACCTGACCCTCCCCTGGCACATCTTGAGGTGGTTTCCTCTCACCCTGTCCCTCGTTCCCTGGGAGCAGAGCCCGACCCCCACATGGCTCCCCGCTCCTGTCAGAGGGTTGCAGAGAGTGATAAGGTCCCCACTGAGCCTCCTTTTCTCCAGGCTCAACAACCCCAGCTCCCTCAGCTGCTCCTCATGAGGCTCGTGCTTCTTTCAGAAGAAAGACAGGCAGCAGGTTGTACAAAAGTCCTGGCTGCCGAAAAGAAATATGGCATCTGTTCCAAGAGTAAACCCTATAATCACGTCATACCAAAGCGTTTATGCTGGCACAGAATGACTATGGTCATACTCTTCAGGACACAGAGGGAGGTTTAGGTTGGTCATTAGGAAGAAGCTCTACACAGAAAGGGAGATCAGACATTGGAATGGGCTGCCCAGGGAGGTGGTGGAGTTACTGTCTCTGGAGGCATTTAAGGGAAGACTGGACGTGGCACTCAGTGCCATGGTCTGGTTGACAAGATGCTGTTAGGTCATAGGCTGGACTTGATCATACCAGAGGTCTTTTCCAACCCAGTTGATTCTGTAATTCTCTGAAGAGAGCAGAAGATCTAAAAAGAGATATTTTTCAAGAACTGAAAAGTCCTTTCAAGGTTCCCACTAGTGCCCTGGATTAATGTGGGAAAGAGAAAACCACAAAAACGCGAAGTCACAAATCTTACGAGGTTGTTCCTTGTGGATTCTCCTTCAGCATCAGAGCTCATGTTTTCCTTAAGCTGCTCCAGGAATGTGGAAAAGCTCTTAGAACCTCGTTGGGAATTTTGAGTCTCGCAGCAGTGTGCTGGGTGCTTCAAAGGGAACTGTCAGTCCATGCAGAGCATTCGGCAAAGGACGTGTGGAGGATTCTGTTAACTCCTTGTCCTTTCTGCTTTCACAGGTGAGACACACAGCACGGAATATTTAGGAGCAGCCTGAGTATGATTCAGCAAAAGCACCTTGCACAGAAGGAGCAACAGGAAGGGAGGCACAGAGAACTGCAAGGAAATGCTGAAGGGGTAAGGCTGACGTCACTAGCGCTGAAATGTGTCTGAAAGAGGGGAGGTTTCCCTTTCTTCAGATAGTTGGTGAGAAGATGCATTTTTGAGTGACAATTTGACAGATTAAAACTATATCTCAGTATGATACTGAGACTTCTGGGGAAAGAACTGCTGATCCCACATCAGGACACAACCCAGTTGTGGACATACATGAGGGGAATGGGAAGAGGGCAAGTGCTATGGAGATGGATAATAGGGAATATGGCTTTGAGTAGAGATTTCTTGGTGGATCACAGCTTCTGGGATTGGCTGTGCATGGAAGGGAAAACTAAGTGCCTCTCTCATGGACATAAAGCAGATCTTCAGATTGTTTTCAGTTTTATGCCATAATTTTACATCCTTAGATTCATTTCTAAAATCAATTAATTCCGTAAGTAATCACTTTTTCATGAACTACATGTAAATTTCACACTCAGCTTGCTAACTAGATTTTCCTCTCATCTGGGAAATCAATTTTTAAGAGAGTTATTTTATTTACATTTAATAACTGGTTATATTTGGTATACAGATAACTGGTAATTAATAACTGTATTGATACTGGATATTCACTGCCTTTTGTCCTCGGAGGTTGTTAGACCATTGGGCTGCCTGATGTCTTCTTAATTTCAACACACTCAAAAAACTGAAAAATGTGTGACACCTCTATGACCTGTAGATTTATGTGTTTGATAGGGATACATTTTCAAAAGGCAAATTTAATTTCATGTGACACAATTTGTATCCAAACATTGTGTTCCTTATTTAGTATCCATAAGCCAATGGCACTGGCAGTGCACACAAATGAAGTACTCAAATATTCACATTAATTTCATTTTGTAATTGCTACAGTAGTTGTGTTTGTAATTTTAAAGGCCAAATTTTCAGGATAATCTCCAGTCCTCCCACAATAAATTCTGAGTTCTCACAGGTTGTTCCATGAAAGAAAAATGGTGGCAAGAGCTGCTGCCTGACTTTCATCAATCCAGAAGCATTTGTGCTCACAAAGTCAGTGCTTGATGAAAGCACAAAAGGGATTGTTGGCTACTTAGCAGAATTTATTATTTACTGTGGTTTGTGTTTTGTTTGGGGTTTTTTGTTTGTTTATTTGTGAGAGAGTTTGTTGTTGAAACAATGTGTAGAGGTTTTTTTATTTCAAGAAGAAAATAAAAGGCAGCACAACCTTGTGACCAACACTCACGTTCCTACATCAAAATCATGAGAGCTGCTATTGTGTCCAGCACTTGGTTCAGTGTCAAATTCTTCTCATGGCAATTTTCTGTTCCCCATTGAGCAAATATTCAAATAACCTGATTTATTTCCTTTTGGTCAACTGATCTAACTTCCTTTCTCACTTGAATTCCTGTCCTGGAGACCTGCCAAACAGTGACTCTTATGAATGAAACGAGTCATGCCTCTGAGATTCCTGTGGAACATCAAACTAGCACAACACAGTAATTACAGCTTGGATATTTTGGACACTATTATTAAAAGCCACTTGAACTTCAGAAGGAAGGACCATTGCAATTAGATGTAACACAAAGTTGAATTTGAATCTTCCATGATCTCTCTGATTTTTCAGGTTCTAGGCAACCTTCTCTGTATCTGTGTTACCTTCCTTTGCCTGCAGTTGGATGTTTACAGATACTACTGTGAGTCCCAGTTGTTATAGCGTACTTTGTCAGGTATATTTTCTTGTGGCAACAGGAATATGAGGTTCCTGCTACAGGAATCTCTGCAGAGCAAAGCAGATGGTGTGCTCAGGAACTGGAAACAGCAGCTTTTGGTGCTGGTCTGTCAATTGTCACTGTACGGTAGCCAAGTATTAGTGTGTAAGTGCTAACCTTGTACATCTTATTTCTGCAAAATATACAATTTCCTGGAGCAGAAATGAAATCTCCTACAGCATACATTTTGCATTATTACTTGTTTCTTTTTAGCAGTAAATGAGGACGTAGGAAACTTTTTCTTAAGCACAGAGAAATGCTCCATTTTATCCTTTTGAGGCAGTGTTTTCAAACTATGTCAAAATGATCAAGAACTGGATTCTTATTTAAACGTAGTAGGAAGACCTTATTGTATTAGCAGATTACAGTCATTGTGTTGGTATACTATCTACCTTGTCTTCATTTTTGCTAACATAATGAGAAATTTTTCTAGCACGGTTATATTTTAATACACTAAAATAGTGTTGGAGAGGAAAATTAATATGATTTTAAAGAGAGATGTAAAGACAATAAAATAGCCTCTGGGTTTTCCTTCCTAAACTTTTAATTTGTTGCAAACTTAAAATATACTTTTTATCAATCCTTTAAAATAATTATAGTCAAATGAACATTTAAACTCAATTAAAAGGTTTACAGAGGGCATTTTTTTCCACATACTCTGCCATATAAGATCTAAGCAGGTCTGCTCAGATGTTCCTAAATTTTCTTGTTTGAGAGAAGTACATAACTGAATAAATCAGTATCAAGCCCTGACTCTTTAGAAAAGGGCATCTCTAAAGCACTAGGACACAGTATTCAGGGAGGAAGTAGAACCTTTTGTCCAAAAATCCAGAGTGAAACTTGGAAGTCTTGTGCTCAGTTATTGTTCTTGCCACAGGCTTCCTGTGAGGAATGAAGAAGATATTTTCAATTTTAGTGACTCACAGGTAGAAAAGAGTTTTCATCACCTATATCCATTCCAAGTGTAAACTCTGTAGGTTCTCTGGGTTCTTGGAAGAAGTTTTTTGCAGAAGACAAAGGGCTAACTGAGCTGTTGCAGATGTACCCAGGCACCCTTACCCTATTTCAACAGGATCCCAGCAATGGCAGGCCAATGAGGGGATGAATTCACTTCTTGTTATTCCATAGCATTCATTCACCCTCTTGGGACTGGGGACTGTTGTGTTTTCTGACCTGACTCCTGTGTTGCTACAACTACATTTGTTACTTTGAGTACAGGATCTGTTTCATGGGACCTGCAGCCGTGATTCCCCACAATGCACACATCAGCCCAGTGTCAGGTCTTCTCCTGGAACGGGACAGATTTCAGGGATCCAAACACATCAGGTCCCTGTTTTGTGGTTAAGGACACTAGGTTCATATGCTGGATTGGGATCTTGGATACATTCCTCTGGCAATAGAAGAGAAACACCCTTCTGCATATCAGTAAATGGAATATCATCAGACTGTTTTTCACAAAAAGGGTTAGGAAGCAGTTTTCTTAACATCTCAGAGAGTTTTTCTTCGTGTATCAATTGGTGTTATTTAGAAGCACAACAGTGACTCTTAAGCTAGGAGTCCCATCACGTGGCACTCAGATCTGGAGCTAGGGCAAGGCACTTAACCTCTCCTTGCTTTAGTTAGTGAAACAAACAAACTATTTTAACTACTTTTCAAGGATATTAGATAAAATTAATTAAGTATTTGTATTGCAATAAAGGTCTGTAAAATTGGAAAGTCTTATAAGAATCTCAATGATTTTAGTCATATTTTGTGTTGATTAACTTTGAAGGGTTAGTTTTGATACTTTGTACTGTATTTGAAGTGTGCTATTGTTTGATCTCTGTAAATAACAGCTGACTTTCAAGCTCCTGTAACGAACCTGTTTAGTCTCTGTGTCTGCCAATGCCCTCTACTGGTTTGAAACACAATCGCTCAGCAGAGGGTATTGCCGTTCTCCCTTGCTGAGGACACCGTAATATTTAGATGATTTTCCTTGGGGAGCAGTAGAATTTTGGTTGTGCAGCCGGGCTCTCTGTGAAGTGCAAGGAGCTGCACCACGGGCAAGCCGACACCCGGGTGACTCTTGCCATGCCACACACACAGCACTGTGCCAGGTGTTCTGTGTCACCTTCTGTGTGTGTGTTCCACTGGCGTTGCTGTCCTTGCCATGGATGACGGGCTCACAGGTAGCACTCCTGCGAGGGAGGAAGGCATTACCTGAGATCTCTCAGCACAAAGCTGCTGTGCAGATGTTCCACCAACACAGCGGCCACCTCTCCACGCAGCCTCTCTGCTCCTCTGCCTGGCCAGGGCCTCCCAAAAGCCAGGGGTGCTTGTGTTGACAGGCTGGGGTACAAATAACCCTGGAGGCACAGGAGCTGCAGAGGTAATGAAGTGCCTTGAGGAAAAAGTCTTAACTATCAAGGGGTAGATCCACTCCCCCCTGCCACAAACCAGAGGTCACGTGGCTGAGGAATGTGTATCCAAAGATAGTGCTACCTTCAGAGAACTCTACTTACAGGTAAGTAACTCTTCTTTAAAGGAGGTATCTTTGTGTGGCAGACTGTTTATGGGAGCAATTTGAATTGAACTTTAAATGAAAAAGGCATATCTCTGTAAGTGGTAATAATTTTAGTCATCTCGCTGTGGCTAGGGGTTGTGGAATTCATTAGCACAGATTAACATATAAAGTGGGTGAGATATCTAATAGCAAACGTAGAGGTTTAGGGACCTTAATTCATCACTGAATGAACAGCGTGTACAGTATTAGGGACTATGAAATTTTTAATTTACACAAAGTGTCCAAGAATATAGGGAATAAATTTAAACCCAAAACAGATAATGGAGCTGTGCCCTGCCTAGCTGGCAAGTTGAATTGTTTTTACACTGAGTGAAGAAAGCTAATTATCCCAAGCACAAGGAGACTGCTAAAAATAATAAGATTATAAAGAATAATTTGCTGATATAATTACAACAAAATTGGGTACACACAATCGTCAGATACATGTATTGCTTGACCTGGGCGAGAAAGTGAAATAAATCCTTCCTCTATAGCCTTCGTAAATTTGTTTTTATCATCTCCAAGTGGTGTTTGCACAGGCAGCACAATTTGCATGTGTAATGTGGCTGTACAAATTGACAACAAGTAAATTATTCAAGGAAATAGGCTGGTCGTGGGTCTGAACTATCTCGCAAAGCCTATTCATTTTGAAGAATCACTGAGACGTGAAGCTCATACATCAACCATTTTCTGACAATCCTCAGACTTATTGTCTCCTAAAATGTCATTATGGCTATTATTTATGAAGCTAATTCATTTATTAATATATATTTAACTCTGACTTGTCATGCACCTTAGCAGGCATTCTGTGCACTGCATATTTTTGAATAGATGAAAGAGTTTTGCATGCTTTAATGATTACTGTAAGCTGCTATAGATTTATAGAATGCAGCTTTATTATCTACTTGCATTAATACCTTTTTGTAACTTTTTTTTTCCTTAAGGCCATCAAATATAAATGGCAAATGACACATCCAAAAGATTGTATAAAAAAAGAGATTTTCGCAGAGTTTGTTGAATTTTAGAACAAAATGAGGTAGCTAACTGTCAAGGCCTAATTCATTTTTAAGAGTCTGTAATAATTATTTTGATTTTTTGTGTATTTTGCTAAAAAATACAGGATGAAATATACGAATTTAAATGTTTACTATACTCTTCTCTTTAAGGACAAATGACCATCTTTTGATTATGCCAACAGAGGGAGTACAGTTTGGAGAGGGGAAAATGTAGCAGCTGGAAAATAGATGTATCCTGCTATAGTATACACAGAACAGGGATAATTTCCCCCATATAGAATACTCCTTAGGAAATGAACAGCACAAAGGGTATGGATTATGAGGTTGCCTATGGTTCTTGGATGTTTTCATCTCAGTTCACTTGTCTTTAGGGCATATTAAAAGACATAGGGATCACAGTAACCCTTCCCTGACATCTGCAGAGCATCAGGAAACTAAACATTGCAGTCTACCATGAGACACATATTTTGGGTTGGTCTAAATTTTACTGTGCACACAGAATACAAATTAAACCTGTAATTGTAATCACAAATTGACTAATTTAGATGCATAGTTATTATGACTGTATGGTCAATTTGGCTAGTTTGCATGATCACAATTTGGGGCCACTGGCCAGTAGTCTAAGAACTGATTTGGAAGTTACGAGCTCCTGCTTGTGATGTTGACATCACCCATAGATTTGATGGGTCACTAGCTCTTGCTCCCTCAGTGTTCGTTCCCATCTGTAGGATGGGGATAATGGATGGGGATGTTTCCTGATGGCATAAAGGAATAACCCACTGGGGTAAAAGAATATCTGGTTAGAGTAGTTTAGTATTAAAATCTGGCATTGTCTTATTTTTCACGTGCTCCTGGGATGTGCTAGGCAGTAAAAGCCATGGGATATGTTATGCCATGGAATGGACAGTCCATGAACAGGGAGGTGTTTGTATCATCACCTCAGATCTTGCAGAGCTGTGTTCGTTGTGCTCAGAGCTGTTTCACCTTAAGCAGGAGAATGCAAGAAAGTTTTCAATGTCAGGACAAGGAGTCTTTGCAAAACAAAGAATTCTCAGTTCTTTAGGTAGCATGGAGGTCTTTTGAAGCTAATGTTATAATGGTAAATACTATAGATATTTATATTGGAAAAGTTACTTATTACTTTAAATTCCTCAGCTTCTTTAGAATGTTAATAAGAACACGAAATATACATAGGAGGAAACTCAAGTGACCAAAATAAAGACACTGTCAAAACCCAGCTCAATCCAGACAAGAGCAAAGAAATTGGTCACGTGGTTCTGAGTATGTGGGGTGAATAAATAAGGCTTTTTGTGTCCAAAAGTCAACAAGAAAAATAACTTGGGCTTTGGAAATAGAAGCTTATGTTTTCAAAAGTGTGCTGTCACTTCTGGTGCTTGTAATTTCAGATGTCTGCCTTGAGACATCTAAGAAAGTAAACCCAGACTTGTAAAATATTTTTTTCAAAAAAATGAACCCAGTCAGGTGGTCTAAATTTGGCTTACAGTAACTCAGAATTTTCTAAAATTGACAAAATATACTATTGAGCTTTTGGAGCGTAAATATTTTTGCCGCTTGAAAAACTCCGAGTATAAATATTGGTTGGTCTTCTGTATTTTCAAAGAAAAATGATGCTTGCAGTCAGATTATCAGTCTATGCCTTCAGAATTTTGGAACCTGACAGCCAGTTTCAACTAAGACAAGTAGATTCCCAAGCTCCCTGAAGGTTTGTTGACTATAGGCAGGAAAAGATGGAGGCTGAAATGAATGCTACCTCTGAATCAGTGGGGAAGACTGACTTCTAGCATATTTTGTGTTAATTTATAATTAATGAGAGTATTTAAATAATCTCAAAATGACATGTGAAAGAAGAAAATTCATTGAGTTTTTCCTTGTTATATCAGAGCATGTTAGAGACTTCCCAGCTGCCATTTTTAAAAATAAAAAAGAAAAAAATTGAAGAAGAGATTGACTGAATTGTTTAAAAAGAGCTTTTATTTTCCTCATCTGACAAGAGATTACAGACTTCTGCAAAGACCCTGTATGGTACATCAAACTCTAGTTCATGCCTTTACTGTTTATGGTAGTGGAGCTATTTTTCCTCTTCTGAATATCGAAATTACACCTGCTACATAAGATATTCGTTCATCTTTATTCAGTAACCTGTAAAATTCAGAGAGTAGAGAAGGTGAAAATCTGCTTGATAGTTCTGGACAAAATTTTTCAGCTGTGATTTTCTGAGTGGCTCAGCTGTAGAGCCTCCGAATGATGTGCAAAGAAAGTGCCCCATCAGACTGCCTGTGCAGCTCTTGCTGCTGCTCCTGATGACACTAATCCATATTCCACTTCTAAGTTGGCTGCTTCTCAGAGAAACGCTGCTGCTTCAACATCTTTTACTGCTGATCCTGTTTTACATTTTTGGAACAACCTAGGAATTCTCGTATCCTCTTTTATAAGCGGGGGAAGTAAACACAATTTATTGTTTCATAACGCACAATTCCCGGACCATGAAATCGTTATGTATTCTGGCTGTAATGCCCTGTGCTGGGTTTGAATTTATCCTGGGACAGCCCTTTTTGGGCTACCAGGGTATCAGGCCGTATGGACAGCCTGAGTGACCAGCTTGACATTCTTCCAGTGTGTCAGGTCTCTCAGCTACAACAACCAACTCATCTGACTGCAGGCAGGGTGTCAGGACTATGCCAGCTGATACCCAGAGGAGTGCCTGGAGCTGGCTGCCTGCTAATCCCTTGAAAGGGGGGACATCCACAAAGGACAGAGTGTGAGCAGCTTCCAGATGCTGCAGTTGCTGCAACCAACCTACCTACCTACCTCTACCCCAAAACTGCTTTCCCTCCAGCTATACCAAATAGGTACTTCGGAAAAATATGTTTGAACTCTCTCATTAAAAAAAGCCCAACAAAACCAAACCAAAACCAGGCTTATTGCTTGTTTAGCACCCTTCCTTCTGATTATTATCCATTAGGCAACTAAAGGATGCTAACCATCAAGGTTCCATGGGAGTGCAACAACAAGAGCAGGGTTGTAAACCCCAGGGCTGAATCCCAGTCAAATTCCAAGTTCAGTGGTTATATTTGCCCCCTAGACTGATAAGCAATTCTTCACTTTTGGTTTAAACATTTACACAGTATTGCCAAGTGCTGATGGTTTCAGGCACAGCAGTTGCATATCAACAGTGGACACTGCCATGCCATATTGTTAATTATATTTGTAAAGTACATTGGGATGCTTTGGAATAGCAGAGTCAGTGCAAAAGGTAAGGTAATTGGTGTGTGTATGTTTGGGGAATGAAAGAGTCTACTGAACACACATTGTTACGTGACTGCAATCTTTTGATATCTTAAATGGCCTTTAGATTAGAAACAAACACTTCAGGATGAATTATTTGTCTTAAAAAAAGGAATTAATGAGGGTAAATCAACACTCATTTTGGAAAATATCTCTTCTTCTACATGAGAGTGTCACGCAGATCATCATAATTTAGCACATCTTCTGTAGCTATGTTTGCCAGCTGTGTAGATACCAGTGAGGTAGATTTTTCTAGTCTGTCTGTTTTGGTGTAGGAATCAAACCCAGGCTGGTTTGTATCAGACCCTTGATGGAACTCAGAAACACTAGAGCTGACCAGCCTGCCCATTTAGGTTCCCAAATTGAATCCAATGCTGTTAATCCAGAATCCCAAAGAATGGATGCCTCTTTTGAGTTGGAGGCAACACTTGGCAAATTAAACATCGTTTTCTAAGAGTGATTTGAATTTCTTCATTAACTGGCTGCTGCATTTTGCAGATGGCTGGATCAGCAGCAAGATCTCAGCTGTGTGTAGTGGGCAGACAGATGTGTAAATTTTGCATTTGTGAGTTCACCATCAGCAAGAAATAGATTTTAACACTGATGGGAAAGGGAGGACTTGAGTACAGGGTTAACATTGCTATTCACACTTCTACACATCCAGTGACAAATTCTGTTCTGTACTGGAAATCTTGATTGCCTCTCCTTTGATCCTTTCACGCCTTCAATTTGCCTACTTCATAACAGTAAAGGACTCTTAAAATATTAGTGTTTATGAGAATGTAGACAATATAGTATGTACTGGAAATAATTGAAACATGCAGTACCTGAGTCATGAAGTGAAAAGAGACAGTGAGCTCCTGTATCCCTTACCTACATTGTGTTGGGTAGTGACAGGTTTATGTATAAAGGTGAAACAATTGGACTTTCTTCAAAACACAAATGGCCTTTTACAAACAATTTTACTTACTTTTTTAAAACTGACTTTACATTCTTTATGTTTTTGCAGTTTGACAACGTGATGAGGAAAACAAATTGAAAGCACCAATTTCTGGGGTCTGAAACTTTCCACTTTCCTGTACAGCAACATGGTGAGTGACAAAGTAAGATCTAGTTATACAACAGTCCTCTCAGTATATGCACTTAAAACTATTTGTGTCTCTGCTTGCTCTGCGAGACAGAAATTCTTTCTTTGAGGTAGTGTCATAGTGCACTTGACTTTGTGTTTTAAAAGACAAAATTCAAAAGCAAAATTAATTTTGGAAAAGGATTTGAGTGCCTGAGGATTAATTACAACATTTTCCTACAGTGTTCAGTTCCCAAGAATGGCATTCCTAATAAATATCATACTTGGTAGGACTGGCAGACAATTAACAGATACTTAGCCTGTGACTGACCAAAAACTTGATCAGTTGTAGAAACTCCTCTTGCAGTAGACAAATGTTTTGACTTTACAGCTTTGGTGTTTGTAATGATGTTTATTTGTTTGAGCACTCTATAGATATTTGGTATTTCAAATGGAAAAAATATAAACACAAAGGAACGGTAGAGGAAAAAACAATTACCTGTGCAAAAGCCCAAGAATTGGTATAAGAAGAATTATCCACAGCAGCCACTTTTGGAAGCCACATATACTGTATTTTATCTTCTGAAAGTTACAAATGTACTTGAGATTGAAATTTTAAAAAACATGCCAGGACAGAGATGGATTAGGGAGAAATGATACATTTATTAGTCATCTTTACTGAATAATCCACTCCCCTTTCCCATATGCTTGGTTTCCACTAATTCACATAGGAAATGTTTGGAGATGGTTGATAAACTCAATCTGCCCCACACATTATTATTGCAGGACTGTGCTGCTTGGTGTACTAATCTCAATAATATGTATGTATGTATTTTCTTAAACTTCCAGAGTCATGTTTCTAAGCGTTTGAGGCAGAGATCCTATAGGATTATCTAAATCTGACATTTATCTGGGTAAAAGCTAACACATAAAGCGTCACAGCTAATCACATGTTTTTTATACTTCCACTTGGAAAAGAAAGAGTACTGGAAGTGACACACTAACAAATAATACATAATCTGTGCACGTGAAGTAATCTTTACTGCTTTGTTGCCTCTTAGACATCCAACATGCACCACTCACAAATACAGCTTGTGATCTATGTGGTTGAGAATCGTGATGTTTGTTGTAAGTAGCACAATAAGTAAATCATCACTGAAAATTGGGACTGGGAGAAATCACCTGTGTAAGATTCCAAGACATGCTGCTATTTTTTTCTAGTCATGTGATTTTAAAGTACAAATACGTGGCAAAACTCTTTGCTTAGTCACACACAATATGGAAAGAAAAAATGTAATAATGAGATTACATGAGCGGTCAAAACAGCAAAAGTCTTATTTTACACACTTCCATAAAATCTACGATCTGGAAGGAGCTTAAGGAGTTCATCTTGTCCATCTTCTCCAACCCAAATGAAGCTTTACTCTGTCATCTTCATCTTACTCTACCTCACTGTTCTGAATATCAAAAGCTTTCCTTAAATACTTAACTGATGTCATTTAGACTGACAATTGACCCCATTGTCCCCTCTATCCAAATTTGAGCCATAAAGCATTCTCAAACTTTCCCATTCCCAAGACAAAACTCAAACACAAGTGTGTTAGGAAATATGTTTGCTGCTTACACATACTATAAAAGTAAGTACCTTTCTGACATGAAATGTCCCATGCAAATTCTGACTGAAAAAAACCCAACCATAAACAGAGATGATAAACAGCAAGGCCTATTTCTTCCCTTATTTCTGTGCAAGATACATAAGACTATAGAATAATAAATAGAACATTGTGTCAGACACAATTCAATATGTATTCCAGTCAGATGTTCTTCAGGTGTGGCAGGACAATCTAACAGAGTGTTAAAATAACCCTTAGCCTGCTTGTGCCTAGAGAAGCCCCACTACATGTGCTATTGGTGTATAGCTATCATAAAAATAAATTAGCCAGTCTGCATTTTCAGGTTAATCTTCAATTTCATAATTGAATCAGTAATTACTATAAGTTAATATAATTAGGTGCTAACACTTAATTGAGAATTATTTATTCAGGAATCTTCACTATTGTAACATTTTTTATAGCTCCAAATCATTCTGAGTAATGTAGTGCATTAAATAAGCTTAACCAGAAATTAAATGGACATTACTTGGAATCTTGCAGTTTAGTTTTCAACTACTTTTTATCACTAAGGTTTTTACTGAAACAAGAGAAGAAAAAGATTTTTGTCAGCCTTTCCATTTCTGCCCATAGCTGAAGTGCCATCTGAGCATTTTCAAAAGATTGAGCCAAATTATACTGGAGAGACTCCTGCTGTCTCCAGTGGTTGTTGATGAAGGCCCCAAGAGAAGACTTTGCCTCTAAGTCTCTCCCAGAATAAGTGACCTGCAAACCCTGATCAGTACCTGGTGGTTGAATGTGTGCCTTTACATCCACCCTCATATCCAAACAGGAATTCATGATGTGATTGTTTCACAAAAAATGAAAATTTATATCCTAAAACACAGGTGCTGTGGCTAATAAACCTGGATACACAATGATGCAGTTTAAAAATCATCTCAAAGATCAGTGAGGGTTTTTTCTGTACCAAAGGGTTTGAACAAGTTGCATTTCTTCTATGCACTTGAATTTGCTGGAGTTTGTCTCTCCCTCCTCTGTGCCTGCTGCATCAGTTGGCTCATTCCTGTGCTGGCCAAACACAAATCCATGTGTGTCCTGTGAGGGGAGAGTGGCTTTGAGTGTGAGCACAAACCTGGAGCTGACATGGCAATGCATGGAGAGAAAATGTCCAGCTCTTTTAGACAATACACAATATGCAAAAGTAAAGGAAGCACAGAATAACCAGCTTTTGACCTCAGTCCTGCTGGAGATCAGCTCAGTTGGGTAGAAGAAAATACAAGAATTTAGAAGGCAACTTGTGTGTTACTTCCAAATTTGGCATTGCTTATTCAATGTGTTTCAGACCAGGATGTGTCTTGGTGAGCAGTTCACAGTTGTTTCACTTGCTGGTTCAGCAGAGAAAAAATGAATTTTCCAAACTGGTGTGAGGGTGTTAAGATGACTCCCAGGGAAGTCAGCATTAGTTGTGCTGTTGGATGTCTGTTTCCCACTTTATAAAGCAACAATGAAGTGCAGTAGGTTCAACAGAACTTCAGAATTACTTTGATAAATTTGTCAGAGGAAAGAAATATTAAAATCTGTGTACTGTCTGTTTGCCTTTTTTCTTGAAATATAAATTAATTATGACTATATAAAAACCTTTTACCATAGCTAATTAATCAGAATCTCCTAATAAACTATGTGTCGACAGCACTGTATGTCTAATTATCTTTTTCACTTCAGAATTGTGCGGTTGAATAATGAAGAAAACATTACCTGATGAATTCTTTTATTTTATGATGATATCTCTAGAGACAGAAAAGACAGAGCAGCTTAAATGCCATCTTAAATTACATCTTGGCCTTGGCAAGCTTTCAGCTGGTTTTGATTTGCATGGAAACCATTTTTGTAAGACTCATATTCTCTGGAAAACAGAACTTAGAGCTATAACTAGAATAAATTATCTACAGCTATTTAGGGCTCTATTAAATCTAGATGCTAGGCACCCTTTTCACATGCAGAATGCAATGGAACAGCTTTTAATACCCTGTCAACCTGTTCTGTGAAAAGTCGATTGGGCAGGGAAGGTTTGATTCAGCTGGTTTTATTAAAATATCTTTCCTCTCCTTACACCATCATGAACCACTCAGCCTAATTTAAACCAGGCAAATTCACCGATCTGTCTTGCATGTCCATAGAAACAGCTTTTAATTTTTTAAAGTGATGACATCTCCCCGTAACTGTTGGCATGCAAGCTCAAGACACAGTTATTCATACACTGCTGATAGGGAATTGTTCTTTATATGTGCTATACCAACATAGGGAGCACGTTCATGGATTAACTGCAGCCATGCCTCCCTCTTTTGATTGCATCATCCTCTCTATAGTAGCTGACTTATCCCTAGGACACAGGGGAAGGGTCAAACCAAATCCCGTTAGACTCTTGTTAGTCAACCTTTTAAGTTTGTTATGCTTTTATAATTCAGAATGTGTCCACGTGTAGTACCACTGTGGAATGAAAGTATCATCACACCACACAGGCATTCATAACAATGCCTGTTATTACAGTAAAAATATTATCTGATCTGGTCTTATTAATTATTTAGATCAGAGCTTAATTTGATCTAAAGGCTGAGTTCAGTGCTCATTTACTGTGGTGCAGACCAGCTAAAACCAAGGAAGCTTCTCTGGGTGTGTGCTGATGAGAAAAAGAACAAGGAAAAGTTATAAATATCTTAAAAGCAAATGCTCATAATATTTGAACGAGATACTTTGAAAAAAAAAAAAAACCAACCAAAACTTAAAAAGACAGTTGCTCTCTATTTTGTCTGCTGTGCTTCCTGGAAATATTGATCTAGATCATATTGTCAGCTGTGCTGTAACAGTAGGAATGTCTAAGCATTGGATTTCCATCTGCCAAGTCTCTTTTCTGCAGATCCTTACAAAGCTATTGGGAAGAGTTGCAATACTACAAATTGATTTTTTCTTGCAGTGCTTAGAGCAAAAATAACCCTGAGACAAGACTAATTCTGGCTCTGAAATACTGACATGCAAGCTTGTGTTCATACATGAAAAGACTACAGCAACCTAATAGAGAGAATCATATAACTTTTACACATCCTAATAAGCAATCTGAAAATGTGTACCTTAAGTTCAGATTTAGAGCATGTTAAAGAGTCAGCCAGTCTGACCTCCATGGTTAATGAATTCCATGAGGAGCGAGCAAACACTAAAAATGCCCTGTAGCTCAATGTCTTCAGCCAAAAAGAACTAATCCAATTGACTGAGACCAAAGAAAACGACTGGGGATGTATGGTTCCAGAATGTCTCTGAGGTATTCAAACCCAAGTCAATTTAAGGACTTGTAAGTTAATAACTAGGACTTTACACATAATCCTGTACTTTACAGGTAGCCAGAGAAGGTTTTTCACAACCA